CGTCCCTCAAGTTAATTTCGACCATTTGAGGACACTGGCCACTTTTACCCTGGCAGTTAAGGCTAACCAGGTTGAGTGAGATACATCCTTGAAGAAAATCCCACATATATAGCTCAAAATATTGCGGTCATCAAAAGCTTTAGCCTGTCCAAGCAGAATGTTTGTTCCCATCAGTCCAACCAGTTAAGGAAAGTGGGGAAATGGGGATGGGGGGGGGGGGTTGTTAATTGAAGGGGTAGGCTGAGATTCTATATCTTGGTAAGATATGGTATAATGAGAGTCCAATAAAACATTAACTTTTGTTGTTTGTTTTAGTAAGCGTTTTACGACACTTGCAACACAATAACGTCATATAAATGCCGAAGATTAGAGGTGTTACAAGAGAGTAACAAACATAAAAAAGAAGGAGGGGAGATAAGCACGATAGTTGTTTCATAGGAAAGAAGAAGCAAACCACACCAGAGCACCCGCCAACCACCCACACATTAATTTTCCCTTTCAGACTTTTTCAATATATTAATAATAATAATGATAATAATAATAAAAACAACAATAATAATAATAATAATAATAATAATAATAATAATCATAAAGAGCATTTGTATTGCGTATGTCCTGACTCAACAGGAATGTGCTTTACAGTCTGAATTATTACCACCTCAGCAGACACTATGACACTGAGAGACATTCTCAACTTCCTGGGAAGCATACAGTGCAAGCACTCGAATAAGTGCTCAAACAGTAACGAATTGACAAATTTCCGCAAATATCACATATAATATAGAGAATATCATAATGAAAAACAGAGATGTAAGTACAACACAAATAGCTCGAATTCATCAGAACCTGCCTCGGTAGTTCGAGTGGGATATCTTACAAAGATAAAGAAGAAAACCCCCCCAAAAAATGGGGCCGCAGGAACAGTCAGACAGATGCGTGATTTTGTGTCTTCTGTGTTCAACCAATCCGTACTGAACTCTGATCTTCAAAAGAAGGAAATGTTTTGAACAAGCTGCCAACAAACCCACCTTGTCTAAACTGGTGGTGTTCATGAACGGGAGGTTGTTGAGGTCATCAGTTGACATCTGCCTCAACTTTGCAGCCCACTGGAAAATATAATAAACGTGCTGAAATAAACTAAAGTGTTAGGATTATAATTAAGATAAGTTTATCAAGTTTATGCGATGCATTACCAACTCAAAACAGGCTTACTGCTGCAACTGCAGCAGAATAGCAAAACAATTATGACTTCTTGCACCGTACAAACATTAGAACAGACGTTAGCTTTCTCTACCTTAGTTGCTTTTAGTAAAAGAATGTTATTAGTTAGAAGGCATGAACATCTTTCACTTACCTGATACATTTAATAAGATACAAATAATCAAAAGGTAGGTATCACTTGTCAATGTCATTAATAAACAGAAATCCCTCAAGAGACTTTGACAACAACCTCCAAATTTCTCTAAGTAAGTGGCTATTCTCCGGTGTCGCGCTGGTCAATAGATCAATGGCTATTCTCCGGTGTCACGTACAGTGGCACATGTCACTTCTCCACAGATTTCCATCTCCCCTGTCGGCACGTTATGGCCATTATTTTTGCAACTGAGTTCAGTGCCCGATGCGCCCTCTTGTACCTCTGGTTGTGACTGAGAGTTGCTGGCCCTTCTGGTGCTGTCATCTCTGTCGCAGAAATTCCTCCTTCTTCCGTCACTGGAGCTTTCATTGAGTAGTGGCTGCGTGTCCATCTATGGTGAATCGCATTATGAAGAAATGAGTGTCTGTATAAGGCCATAACGAGCCATCAGGGGAGATAGAAAGTTGTGGAGAAGCAACATATGTGCAACTATACGTGATGCAGGTGAATAGTGAACAGCTATCCATCTATTGACTGGTGCGACGCCGGAGAATGGCTGAGTCTATGCGCACACAATTGCGTGCACGGAAATTCAAATTTTGCTATACACGCACGCAATTGCATGCAAGGTATCATAGTTTGCTACGCATGCAATTGTGCGTGTATAAACACGTTGAGTCTTTAGGCAAAGTGTTAGGTTCAGACTGTCATACCCCTCTGGAAGAAGGGACATTGAATCTACAAGAAAGGCTACTATTGAGTGATTTGAAGTCCTTAGATGCAACTTCACGTTTTCTGATTTTCTGAGGCAGTCTTTAGCTGAAAATCTGAGGAATCCAAAAAGTCTGAAAATTAAAAGAACAGTAGTACAGGCTGCACCGAGGTTTCAGAACTTCTTTTCTCACGAATAAGGTTTAAGAGTGAAGACTCAGGTGCAATTCTTCTCGAAGCAAGTTTAGGCACGAGACAGAAAAGGGGAACATATACATGATATATTTCCATTTTCAAAAATCAGCTGAAGCATTTTTTATTCACAAAAGCATACCTGTCATAATGATGTACTGTGATATATATGCATGTGTATGCCAGACTGTGAGACTGGAGAAATAGCGAGTGAGAATGAGAGAGAGAAAAAGAGAGAGATAGAGAGAGAAAAGAGAGAGATAGCGAGAGAGGGAGAGAGAAAGAGAGAGAGAGATAGAGGGAGAGGGAGAGAGAGAGGGAGAGAGAGAGACAGACAGACAGACAGAGAGAGAGAGAGAGAGAGAGAGAGAGAGAGAGAGAGAGAGAGAGAGAGAACAGAAATGTTTTTCTATCTGTATAGAATTAATGTTTTAATGAATGTTTCTAGTTACTCACGTTTCAACTGTATTTTGACTGTTTGTGAATTTATATTGCATTGTATATTTTTAGTGAACACATTTTCAACCTCACTGCGAGACTGTTTTTCTGGTATAAAATTTTACACATATGCATTTATATTATATGTATAATACTTTGTTTTACGTACACATTTGTGTCGATTAATTTTTAAGATGTGATGTCTTTTTCATTGTAATGCGCATTGAGCATCTTTTAGGAAATGGAAATGCGCAGTATAAATGCTATTTATTATTATTATTATTATATATATATATCTGAGGGACAAACTTAAAAGAGGGAAATATACGGAATTGCGTGCATAGCAAAGTAAGATACCTTGAACTTGAACACAATCGTGTGCGTATAGATCCCTCCCCCCCCCCCCCCCCCCCAGAGAATAGGGTATTATATATATATTTTTACTTTCCCTCCCGTCTCACACTTAGCAGAGCCTACCAGTTGTTCATTGTTTACTAAATATTGATGCACTGATCACGAATATCAACTTCATTTCCGTTGCAAATTAAGAGTTTTTGAAATAACTGATTGTTCTCCTAAAGAGATATACAGCTCATAATCTGCAGGTGCCAGGTGGTCTGCTAATCTTCAATTTTACCTTTTTCTACAACAAAGAAAGTGGGAAACGGGGGGGGGGGGGGGGGGGGGGCGTATCAATGAGGCGGCGGGCATTGGATCGGCAGATAAGGTGTGAGGGAAACTTTAAAAAGTCGGAAAATTGGAAGCACTGAACGTTAGATCTATAGAACGAAGACACTTCCTTTTTTCCGGACCCGAGTCCGAATATAACATTTTTTCATATTCGGACTCGAGTCCGAATAGGTTTGTTTTTTTATTCGGACTCGAGTCCGAATATGAAAAAATGTTATTCGGACTCGAGTCCAAATAACCACGGCCTTATGTGTGATCTGCAGCAAACAGTACTGCAGTTTGACACCCTGGGCAGTGCATCTGTGTGCGGGAGTGAAAGTAAAAATTTACCGAGAATAGCCACTTGCAAGTTCTAAAGGATACATTCTAAAATCTAGGAGAGTCCCAACAATAACAAACCTCATCTGGAACTTCGGACAATGTACCCTGTTTCAGTACGTGTGTGACGGGGATATCGTGCAGCCATCGATACTCCGCAAGAAACAAGAAGCTCTCCAAATTGTGTGCTTGCAGACTTTCCAGATCCGCCGCCATAGATCTAGATCTAAATCTAGATCTAGATCTAGAATTTTCTAGATCTAGATATCTAGATCTAGAATCTAGATCTAATCTAGATCTAGATCTAATATCTAGATCTAGAATATAGATCTAGATATCTAGATTTCTAGATCTAGATCTAGATTCTAGATCTATATAGATCTAGACTAGAAATCTAGAGTCTAGATTTCTGAGCACCTTTTGGTGTTCGCAGAACAGCAATAACTACACGGCAGAGAGCCCACGACTTTACAGGAGGAGATACATATTGTTCTAACCAGAGTGTTCTACAGTGTCAGTAATCAGGTTCTGTAATAATCTGCAGGAAGTTCTGAGTGTTCGAAGTTTTACTTTCGATTTCACTCAAACCTACTTCCGACTTCTGCTGCGTCACAAGGCAAGGTACAATGTGGTTACAGTACAACGTTTTGGAGGCCTAATTGTTGCCTATAATAGGGGGCGAGGGGTGCATACGGAACAACTTGGCCCTAATTTAAATTCAACTTGGCCCTAATTTAAATTCACTGCTGTAGTGTTAGAAAGTGTTTAACTTTCACTATTGATTCATCTAATGCCTTCCTATGCAGACGTCCAAGAATTCAGAATCGATAAGCATGACCATAAGACACCAGCACGAAGTTCTTATCAGTGCCTCAGTTTGGAATTTTACGGCGTTCGCAACTACATGAGGTCATTGCATGTACATGTCTGTGAAAAGCACAACTCAAATTGGTTGTTTTCACGGTTTGGTTTTTATTTTACCTTCGAAGTTAAAAATTCTTGGTAAAAATTCAATTCCACCCCCCCCTCCCCACCCGCAGTCATGTACATGTCATATTTCAAGTCCATATTATTTCAAAATAGTACCAACTGACATTTTGAAGTAAAGAGCAGTGGTCCTTATAAAATCAATAATTCTGTTGGGATCAACCATGGAGAACAAAATTCTTCAAATGAATGAACTCAGAAACTGCCTTCGGGTCTCTCCAAAGCCGGTAGTTTTATTTAGGGCCTCTATTTTTAACCTTATCCAAACCAAAACTTTAATGGTTTTGCATCTCCCTGCACGAAGTGCCAGTGTGGTATCCAGTAGGCCTACGTAATTTTTTTTAAAAAAGCTTCTTTCGATTTAGATCTTGAGCCATCGATGAAGAATCTTTCTGCATCGGGGACTGTTTGAAATTTTTTTTTTTGCAAAAAAAATAATTGAATGTTGCTAGCCTACGTTTTTTCATGATCTATTACGTTAATAATGAAGTGCCACGAAGGGAGGATCAATGCATAAATATAATCTTGGCTAGGCCTATAACAGTTTTGATCTTCTTGAATACTTTTGACTTGGAAGGGG